GGAGACTAGACCTTTTTCTTTGTATTGTTTATAAAATGAATTCCTCAGTCAGTATTTTTTATCCTGTGGGGGCACAAGCCYAACATAAGATTTACAAGTAATTTTCTTKTTACCTGTTTGGCATTGAGGTAGAAGTCAAGAAAAGGAAGATGGAATCCAAAAACATGTATTTCATGCTTAAGTGTCAGCTGACCGATATGTTTATTCTCTTTGTCCAATGACCAGTTGGCATCCCATTTGTGTTGCATTATCTCAAGCCACATGGTTGAAAACATATAGCGCAAGTCTGTCCCTGCGAGGATTGGTGATGAATGTAGGTGTTCAAGGTGATTAACGTCAGCACCATTTTCTGGGATTTCCTACAAAAATTAAATGTCAGTATATTGCAACAGATTTTTACACATAATGGGTAAAAATTTTTTAAATATATTTTAAAATGATAAAAACATGGTGAGGCACGTTTAATTTGTAATTTGCATTTTAAATGAAATAAATATCAAGAAATGGATAATATATCCTTAGTTTCTACCTTCCCTTAATCACCCTCCATGGATCTGTTCTTGGCATTACACAATTGTCATTGAAGATCATATCTCGATCATTAAGGGATGGACCAATAGGATTTTTTTTGTTTCAAAACATTTGATATATTACTTTGTTTTTCTCTGCAGAATTTATAGGTTAATGTTGAACTATTCCATTACTTTGATTTCAAGTTATTGTTTTTAACACATTATATGTTGATAAAATATGTCAGAAAATGCATGGGCTATAGCCCTCCAAAATATCAAAAAATGACCAACTTTTGATGAAAATACATGGATTATAGCCCACCGAAATGGCAAAATATGACAGATTTTTAATGAAAATGTAGGGGCTACACCCCTCCAAAATGGTCAAAAATGACTGACGTTTGATGAAAATGCATGTGCCTTAGCCCACCAAAATGGCCAATAATCATCATGTCTGTCACTAAAAACAGCAGTTGAGATATGTTTTGTTGAATGCAAAATATAAATGAAATAGACTTGAAAAAATGTCATGTTGTAGTGTGTTCCACATCTGTGAGTCTGATATTATTCACTTGCACAATTTTTTTTTGTCACTCTTGCTGTGCACAAATTTCTTTTTCTCTATTTAAGCCTTRCTCTAATTTTTTTTTGGTTATTGCCCAACCACCCCCTCAAATATCCAATGGCCCATCCCTAAGTTCCATATTCATATTATTACAYAAAAAGCTAAGAACTTTACAGGTGAGTACAAAAACAAAAACACCAAAATTAAAAAAGCATTTTCTATAGCTATACATGTCAAAGTCTCCTCCAGATTGACAAAAATATAAAATATAATATGCTTTCATTTTACAGTATAATAGAGACACATGCAATTTGATACATTTTTTTGGATGGTCATTTTGCAGTGTAAATGTCCTATCAAAACAGTGAATACTTATCAACATCCTCCATTCAAATTTATTGGGAAAACAGGGAAGTGAAATTTAAATGAATAAAAAAAGCAAAGCAAAACAATMAAAGATGAAAGATTCTTCCTCAAAGCTTTTCCATTGCGTGACACAATTTCTAATTAGCATATATATTACAGCAAACTAAGGACGTTTATTTCTCAACATTTCCTATAATTATTATTACTGCAACAACTATAAATAAGGCAAAATTACTTAATGGAACTAAATATCTGGACAAGATTTTCTATCAATCACTCAGAAAAATCTGTGAGAGTTTCGCGCCAATCTTCACGTTTGTTACATGTATATTTGTCCGAGTGGTYTCGAGTGTTTCAATGCTTCGAAAAAATAAGATGCTGTTACAACAATAATTTTGACGTGTAACTACATTCTAAGGAATAAAGGAAGTCTATACTAGTAGTGATTTGCTTTATGGCGCGGTATCTAGGGGAGACTGTTGAAASGTAAACAAACATTCAAACAAAACTAGACATTGTTTATATCGAARGAACTATATAACTTGTACACTGATTGACAGCATTCATACCTCGCAGTGTGCATTTACTATATGTGTTGTTTGACCGCCGTACACCCATTCTCCGTTTTTTATTTCATCTACTTCTTCTGGTAACCAAGACGGTTCTTCACCTTCGGAATGGTACCATAACATGATGGACTTGTTTCTCTCCAAACATGGCCATGTTTTTACTTTTGCAAATGATGGAATATTGTTAGTATAAGGGATTTTTGTGCATTTTCCATCCGATCCCCTGTACTCCCATCCGTGAAATGGGCACTGAATGGAATTTCCAACAACCTGCCCTCCGATTGCTAAGTTTGCACCGAGATGCGGGCAGTACGCATCGACAATACTAACATTACCATCTTCTCCGCGAAAAACCGCCAAGTGCTCTCCTAAWACGCTCACAAATTTCACCTCTTTGTGTTTCACTTCACACGAGGAAAGAATATGAAACCAGCCGTTCGGGTAAACTGGAGGAAGGTCGCCAATTCTTCGTCTCTCCTTATTTTTGTTTGCGATTTCCTTTATGGGTAAGATGTCGTCAGGAATATAGCCAGTGTCCTCAATTTTACGAAARAGTTTAATAGGCACAAAGACAAGTTGCCAAAGCTTGTAAAGAATGAGAGTCACGCCAACAACTGACACCGCCAAGACGAGCAACGTTACACGGTCTATCTGAAGACCAAGATATCCAACAATCAGSAAAATCCATTCATTGAATTTCTCGGTGCTCATCGACGCAGTGGAATAAACGCACGGTAGCAAAAGAACYAAGGTCAGAAGTTTGAAGTAGAAATTCATCTCGATAAAAGGAAGAGAGTCTAAGTGACATTGCGTTTCGAAAGGTGTGTGACGTCATACGGAGTAATATTATCTCGCGTACCTTCACGATTGGTTGGTGAAACAATAGTTAATCCAAGATGTATAACGAAAATGGTGTAAATTATTAGCAACAACAAAAGAAAATATCATAACACAGGAGATAATTGATTCATCAACTCGACAAACTTTCACTATTATGTTCTATCATGATACTATTTTAACATTTTGACGAAGTACTTCCCGTATTTCATAGAAATCACGTTTCCAGCAGGAACGCCTTTCAGCAGGCTGCGTTTACATTAGAATTTACAGCTGTCTAATTAATACGAATACTAAAATGATATCAATGATCCAACGTTTTCGCACGTTTTCGTTTTGTTTTTGTTTGTTTTTTTCTGACGTCAACATTATTAATACCGTTCATGTTTGGGAATTTTAAAGATGGTCGAGGCTGTTTCGTAAAATAATTATGATGTTACACAATTCAGATGACTGATTTGATTCACGTGTGCAGTGATCAATTGACCGAATATAAATTGTGCCTAGAAAAAAGTTATTTTGCTTGATTGTTGTTACCCAGCCAACTTGTTATAAACAATGACAATATATTAACCGTACAGTTCATAAAAACAAACGACTGAACGCATGTACAAACAACACACTTGTAAGGTTCTAAGTTATCCAAAAAAAGTTTTAAATATGTATTTTGTGTTAATTCATCCAAAGAATCAACACTTGCATTAAATGCAACCATTTTAGTACAACTACCAGCTAGTCTCCTTYGCATCCGTTTACTTGTYGGACTTCCTGTCCCTCCCCAGGACAGTGACTAACTACTAGCATACTCTGTGTATTTTCATTGTCATTCAGATTATTATTCACTTTACTTTGGGATTATAACTACACTACAAAATAAAGTGTACAAGGCATTCTGGTAGTTGTACTGCATGACACCATCCTACATACATTGTACATTAAATTGTTCACTGTTGTAGGAAAACCACACTAAGAAATACAACGTTTTTTCACTAATGAGAGTGCGATATTTGTGATATACCATCAAGTTGTTGGATACTAATAAATAATAGACCATGCACTAAGGGCAAAAGATACTTATGTACATGAAAGATTGTAAAAACAGACTTATCACTGTGAGTCAGTAGAGATAATCATAAAAAGTCTGATCCTTCAGGACTCTTAGTTTTGGAAGTGCTGAGTACCTTGACTGCATAATAACATATACCAATTTTATAACATGGTTTAATTTGCTTATGTGACTTGGAATAGGACATGTCACTTCTGGGATTCCTGTGGTGGACAAACACGACAGAATATAGATTTATAGACCATAGATACAATTGCTTGCAACTGATTTTTGAGATAGTATATTATGCCTTTTGTGGTTTTACAATGAAAACAAAGGACTTAGATGGCACTTTTTGGAATTAAACAACTAGATTGACAAAACTCTGGACATAATTAAATATAAATTGTAAATTATATTATAAAACTCATTAATATTCATAAGGCAAAACACAATAGAAATCATAGCCCATGAAGAGAGTTGTATATTACATACAGATCGCCCGCTCATATTGTATATATTACTTAAAAATCAACTTTTTTCGCAAACAGTTGTTGATAGATACAAATTTTTAACAAAATTGTATATTTTCTCAATTTCTGATTGTCCAAGAGCTGTGGCAATTAAAAAGTACATGTACTTACCACAGTTGCAAGATTGTTTTTTATTCTGTTGTTATCTAATTTTCAAATATTTATCATGATAGTTTCTTGTGAGGTGTCCTCTAATTTACCAGGGTTAGCGCCATCTTGATCACCATCAAAATTATTATTTATCCTCTCAACTTTGTCTTGTGAATGAATTAAAACAATTTTTGATGATTTGATGAAATCAACCGTGACAAATAAGAGGACATACCATGAGAAACTATTATAAAGTAGTTATAATATTATATACATTTTATACATTAAATAGATTGATGAAAAGGTTAAAACTTGGCATTTAGGCCCCCTTATAATGTTCAGGATCTGCCAATGACCACAGTTCAATAGCCAATCAGAATACTGCTTTAGAAACATACACACAAATGCATCGTTTGATTCCCAGGTTTGATTGGGTTTCATGATTATCTGGTATTTGTATTAATTCTGAAGATCATTTAGATTTACATCTTGTCTATAATACCACCTCGATAACATTCTGTTGCAGGGAAAAGTTCGTTTGACTAATTTATACTAGATAAATTTATGCTCTGTAAAATATGCATTGAAGTGAAGCTAAAAGCTTGCAGTTCCATTCTGTTGTTCATTTTAACAAAAGCACTTGGCTAAATACTAGACAATCGTCTGTTTACTTACCAAATTACTCGCCAATCCAACAAAGACCTCCAAGTTAAACTCCAGTTCAATTATCACGACAAAACTTCTTTAAATTTTCAAATATTTTATCTAYCCGCAGACCGACTGGGAACGAGGTTGTCCGGAACGTCAATCAATGATGCTTTGCGATCCAAACAAGCGCGAAAAGAAAAAACATGGCGGACAGGAGTTGTTAGAACGTCTCAATTTTTATATATCCATTTCTGATGGGCGACGTTGAAAACGGTGCGTTTACTGAACGGGAAAATGAAGTAAGTATACCTAGAAATTTTGATAGCTGCAATAACAATAGGCTTTCTGTCTACTGACTTGAAAATAGTCCTTTTTTAAATATTCTTTCATTTTGAGCGCAGAAGGTTGTGTGGTATTTTTAACTCCAGGAAGAATAGAGAGAATTTGTCTGCCCCTGCAGAGTACTCATAGCTCAAGTTTTTACGGCTACGCGGTTGCAATCCAAGACACAGGGAGACATTAACAATCATAGACAAAATATGGGACAATACGTAACTTACTTAGATAATGTCTACTGAAACAGCTTACATTCAATTTCCTCCCCAGAGCCCCCTCCCCCCCCCCCATCTACAAAGTTTGTTCTCCAAATACACCTATTTCTGTTCATTCCCAATTATGACGTTGCATACAACAACATTATTGAAATAAAGTTATTCTTCTTCTTTCACTTAGACTTGAACTGTCAACCACTGAGCCACACATCTTACCTTTAATTACATTAAATTTGTTACATCACAAGCCCTTCRCTTTAGTTCAGATCCAATCTCGTACCCAGTGCTCCTGTCCCTCTTACTGTGYAAGCTCGACAAAAAACAGTGGCTCTGGAATGCGATTTACTGCTCTCTGATTGGCTCATAAAATAAACATATGAATATGAGGACGGCATGGCACTATGATCAACACCATATAGAAATGAAAGAAAGTTATAGTGCCCAGAAGGCAATTTCGGGAGAAAGACCCTTTAGGAATAAATTAAGAAAAAATTAATTTCCAACCTTGCTGGGATTCGAACCCACGACCTTTGGATTTGCACTACCGAAGCTCTACCAGCTGAGCTACAAGGCCAGACTGGGAGCAGGTCGGGGTGAAATAGATGAAGCGAGGTCAAATTAATTTTCCCAAATTTATTCCTAAAAGGGTCTTTCTCCCAGAATTGCCTCCCTCTAAGCACTATAACTTTCTTTCATTTCTATATCATAAAAAAAGCACTTGYCACAGGAAGTGAAAATATCACCGAGAAAAACACTCAAATCATTCTGTATTTCCATAACTCACCTTGAAATCTTCCTTTAAAAGCATTATTTTATTAAGTCTGTGAAGTGGGCATTTGAGAGTAATATGATCAATTAAAGTATAAAATGGAATACAGCGAGGTGATGAACTGTTGCTATGATAATTGCTAACTGACTAATTATTAAGTATATTGATATATTGTGAGTTATTTTGACATCTCTATTCTTATTTTTTTCATTTAGAAGTCATATTTGTGTTATCAGGTTATCAGTGAAGAAATCTGTTTTGTTTTCAGGAATTTTATTTTAAGCAGTTAAAAAATCTCCAGGTGTTTGATGCATCAGACAATCTTCCACTTGGTAGATCATACCTACTTGCTGTCTCTAATAGATATGGTTTGTGCTTTGCTGGCTGCCCTGTTGGTATGCATACTTTGAATAATTACAATTTTTATTGAAACTTTAGATAGCAAAATTCGGCTAAAGAGGATATTGAGTTGTCCTTATGTGAGGCCTAGACAATTTCATAGTACATACATGTACATATGTATGTCAGATTAGTAAAGATGAAACCTAGATGTAAAATAATAAACAGTGCCGCATCAACAAAAAAGGACTGGGTAACAGTGGGGAAGAGTGAAAAAGTCAAACCTCTGGAACCAGRGTGTAGAGTTGGTGACAATCTTATTGAATGACGTCTAAAGACAGGGTAAATGCTTACTATTATAATTTTTTTAGGTTTTAAGATAATAAAAACATCTGTATTTGGGGAAGTTGACCGAGAGTCCGGTGAAAGAAGTGCTAATGCTATAGGTAAGACATATTATTGTATGTGGTGTAATTTTTTCTTCAAAACTGCTCCAAAAGTAGTAGGTAGATGAAAAGAATATGTTTCTCTATCAAATAGACACTGATCCAGAAAAAAATACAACTAAGTTCATACACAGCGATAATTAGGGAAGTTGACTGACTATTTAGAGTGTATTTTGTTGTATAGTTTAATACAATATGGGTGACAGTGTTGTATGATGGGAATTATAATCTTTTTTGGCAGCAGRTGAGAGATTGTAATATCCATGCAACACAACTGATGATGTTTTTAATGACTCTTGTGAACAAAACCCCAAACACAAATGAACCTGAATAATATGCCAAAAAAAAAACATGCATAATGAATCAATGGTACTACCTATTGAATCAGTCTTGATCTTACAAGAATGTTTTTAAAGTTAGTGATAGAGCTTTTTGATTTTAATGTTTTTCACAATAACTTGGATGTAGACATAATTGGTGATCATATTTTTATACATGTATTTATTGATATGAAGCTGAGATGATCTTCCCTTCCCACTTTCATAATTGTATACTGTAGGTATTTCATGTCATAGTTTTATTGTCTAGTGACCCAGTATCCTTCCATGTACATCGACATTGGTCACCTCGTATGTCATATTGCTATATCCAGTGATGATGTTACACTGTCTGTATGCTATGAACATGGTGATCGTCTAGTACTCAGGGTATATGACATACCTACACTTGCTCTACAGGTTAGTCACCCACTGTCCTAATACTCCTATTGCTTTGCCTTATTCAATTCCAAATTAATAGTGCTATATGGCATGGGATTCTCCCAACCGGATTGATAAAGATGATATTACAGGGTACTAATACTATGATATTACAGGGTACTAATACTATGATATCACAAGGGTAATAATACTATGATATTTCAGGGTAATAATACTATGATATCACAGGGTAATAATACTATGATATCACAGGGTACTAATACTATGATATCACAGGGTACTAATACTATGATATTACAGGGTAATAATACTATGATATCACAGGGTAATAATACTATGATATCACAGGGTACTAATACTATGATATCACAGGGTACTAATACTATGATATCACAGGGTAGCTTACAAGGCATGCTTGGTGAGGTGGTTCTAATGTCAAGTCCTGGTAAGTTATTATCCTAGTTTTTAGAAACTTGTGTTCTCATACAACTTTTTGATTATTGAATATGCTGTAGTTCAGGTTCAATATATTTTTGAACCAGTTTAATCTAATTTGTTCCAGTACAAGACTACTTGTACTGGTCTTTTTTTTTTGCTTTGGCATTCTTAAAAGAATTAAAAGAACTAAGTATATCCCATCTCATTCTCTCCCATTTTTGATCTATTATCTTATTTTCTACCTTCTACTATTTCCTACTTTATCTTACTATTATTATAGTATCTCCATTCTTGGAAGAAACAATAAAATATTTTCGTTCTATGCCTTGAAACAATTGAATTTGTCTTATTATCCTTTGATAAGACTCTCTACCCTGGTCTGAAAACTAAAGATTGTTGTACTAGCCCATAACTATGGGTTGTTTTTTGCTCTTTTTCGAAAGAAATCAGGAGAAATAAGAACTAAAGATTGTATTTAGATTGAAAATAAGCGATTGAAGTGATTTTTTTCAATTTGTCAAAAATTTCAAAAATACCCTAAATCGTCACTTATGCCGTTTTTCCTCCCGGCCTTCAATTAAACATGGTGTTTTGTGATTAAGCTCATCCTAGTGTGAATACAAGGTTGTAAAAAGCGGTGATTTTATATTTTTTAGGCATTATCTGTCTTGTGAAATTTGGATAGGGAAATGCAAGTATATACTCTTTTAATGACTGCTTTCTGAATAACATAATTATATAGTGCTACTATTTTTTTCTCTAAGTTAAGGCACAACAATGTTGAATAGTCCTCTGAGGTTTTTGAATCATGTACTGTATAGGCAATGTATTGTAGGATACGTTTGGGATAGAACATGGCAGATTTCTTTGGTTTTCTCCAGAAACTGATCCCAAAATGCATTGAAAATCACATAGTGACATAACAGGTTCACAATAAGTCAATTATATCATATAAAACAAGTAATCATGTTTGAACTGCATCAATTGTTTTTTAATTTTTTTGTTTCAAAAGGTATCNNNACAGGGTACTAATACTATGATATCACAGGGTAATAATACTATGATATCACAGGGTATTAATACTATGATATTACAGGGTAGCTTACAAGGCATGCTTGGTGAGGTGGTTCTAATATCAAGTCCTGGTAAGTGATTACCCCAGTTTTTAGAAAATTTATCCTGTGTTACATCCGGAATTTCTATCAAATTAGATAGAAATTCCAGATATAGTTAACACAGGCTAAGAAACTTGTGTTCTCATACAACTTTTTATTATTATATATTTGATAAATTATTATATTGTAATAGGTATTATATGAACTTGAATACACACATGACTTTGCCTGAGTCATAATGTTTGTGTGATCTTTTGTTTTCATCTTCTTAAACAGGATTGCCGTAGTTGTCAAGGGAGGGGGAGTTATTCAGACTAGGACTGCAAGCTGCTTAGAGCTTGACAATATCTATATTATTACATCTACATTCTTGGAAGAAACATTAAGATATTTTCGTTCTATGCCTTGAAACAATTGAATTTGTCTTATTATCCTTTGACAAAATTCAAAAGCACAAGAATTAAGTAAAATCAGAAGAAGCTTCCTACTGTGTTGTTTGTTATCCATTCAGCTCAATCCAGGGGACTGTCAATCCAGGGTGTTTTCATCAAAGTGTTGATTAAAATGTTACTTATATGCCTGTCTCTACCCTAGTCTGAAAACTAAAGATTGTTGTACTAGCCCATAACTATGGGTTGTTTTTTGCTCTTTTTAGAAAGAAATCAGGAGAAATAAGTACTAAAAAATAAAGACTGTATTTTAATTTAGACTGAAAATAAGCGATTGAAGTGATTTTTTTTTTCAATTTATCGAAAATTTCAAAAATACCCTAAATCGTCACTTATGCTGTTTTCGCATCCGGCCCTTCAATTAAACATGCTGTTTCGTGATTAAGCTCATCCTAGTGTGAATACAAGGTTGTGAAAAACGGTGATTTTATATTTTTTTAGGCATTATCTGTAGAGTAGCCAATCACAGCACAGTATGAGTGATAGACCATTAGTATGTTTATACTAATGTTGAATAGTCCTCTGAGGTTTTTGAATCATGTACTGTATAGGCAATGCATTGTAGGATATGTTTGGGACCAAACATGGCAGATTTCTTTGGTTTTCTCCAGAAACTGATCCCACAATGCATTGAAAGTCAAGTAGTGACATAACTGGTTCACAATAAGTCAATTATATCATAAAACAAGTGATTATGTTTGAACTGTATCAAGGGAGTTGTTTTTATTAAAATTTATTTATTTTTTTCAAGGTATTTCCCTTGTAAATCTGTTATGGAACCCAACTGTAAGTGGTATGTTTGCTGTATGTTACTCCAATGGAATGGTAGCCATGTGGGAGATGAATGAAACCCAGATAAAACAAGTCTCATCACTTCCTGTGTCAACTAGAGCTACTGCTAGTAAGTAATGTAGAGCACAACYTCTTGGTATTACCAAATGATTCACTGATTAATTCTACAGGGTTTCACTAGAAGGCAGTAGCTCCCAGTTATACACGTAGCTTGGTTAATCACCAGCTACTTTACTACAAATTTATTTGCAAATTATTTGGCTGTACTTTTCCTATTTTGATGGTTACTTTTCCTATTTTGACGTCTACTGAGAACCCTATTTCTATTGTGAAATTATAGTACTTTTACACTATGCTACTGTATTTCTATTACTTCAGTCTAGTAAGATATGAAGTAAAAACTATTCTCATTTCTTAAAGTTTGTTGGAGTCCAAAGGGCAAGCAAATTGTAGTGGGACACAAGGATGGACACATGACTCAGTATAGTCCGGTGAGTATGATGATATATTGCTTACAGTCAACCATTCTATTTAATAACAGTATAGTCCGGTGAGTATGAAGATATATTGCTTACAGTCAGCCATTCTATTCAATAACTTTATCCAATTGAAAAAGGCATTACAATTATTGGACAATGTTGATGAGATAGATGGCAGAAATCTCATGTCATATTAAATGCAAAGTCATCTTTGTGGCCTGTAAATATTGCTATTAGCTACATCATGGTGTATTACCTAATGTTTGTATTTTCTAGAATCTTCAAGATGTTAAAAAGGAGACACCAAGTCCCGAAGTCTTCAGAAAATCTCCACATCAAGGTATGTTTTATGCA